AGTGATTCACTGCTGTCCTGATGGGGAAAAGGGCCTAACCTTTAGGGACCTTCACTAGGTGAACAATAAATGCCTTGTAATCTTGCCCTTATAATTTGTGCAGGAGAGATGTTGAGGGATTAATCAGAAAACTTGAACCTCTCCTTTATAACAAGCTCAATTTTCAAGTTTATTAAAAAGATTTAGTGGAAGTATATAAGAAATCTAAAAATATGATAAGTATCAATAAATTGTTTAAAGAATTCTACCACTGGTCACATGATTTCTATCAAGACACCAAATGATGGTGTGCATCCTACAATGAGGCTGATTGCCCACCCTTCGTGGAGAGGGTATGAGGCAGAGAATTCGACTTGCAAAGTCAGATGCTGCCTGGATGAGAAAAGCTGTTCCAGTTAGTTATCTAACCCATCCATGGTGGGTTCTTCATCCATAAAAAGGCAGTGTGCTTTGCTCACAGGTGGTTAGGAGATTCGTGAAACCTGGGGAGAGCACAGTGAAGCCCACGATCCAGCCAATCTAACCAGTCTTGTAAAAACCATGGGAAGCTCCTCTGTAGCTTTTCTTTCAGGCATGTTCATTAACAGACATTCATAGTTAATCAGAACAAGATGTTTAAAACGGTATTTATAGACTTCAAGGTTTTCAAAATAGCGATAAATGTATAACAACTTTGTATATACATATATATGAATTAAAATGAGCTAATACTATAATAGCACTCAATTGACAAATATTTGGGGGATACATCTGAACTCAGCTTCCTTCAAGGTGCATATCCTGTGAGACAGTAGCATTGATTGCCAAGCTGATGCCCCTCCTCCCTGCATATGTAAACATTTCCCTTCCTATCTTTGGATTGGTGTGTGTATTCTTGAATTTTTAAGCAAATGATTATTCATGTTATTCTATGTTATTTTTTTTTTTTTACAAATTATTTTGTTGGGTGCATTCAAGCATCTAAATGTGCTGTAATTACTTAACTAGTCCCAACTATTGGACCCTTAGTTTGGTTCTGATTTGTCATTACCATACTTAACCTATGACAAACATTCTTACGTAAAAAACATTGTACACATCTCTGATAAATTCCTTAGGATAAACTCTTACAAGTAGAATGTCTGGGTCAAAGGGCATGGATAACCTTAAAATTTTTGACTTGCCAAACTAACTCACATTCCTCTCAATGATTATTAAGGACCCCATTTTCCTTCTCACCAACATTGAGTTTTACCACTTCAAAAAAAAAATCTTTATCAATCTTAAACAGTAAGTGGTAGAAAACACCTGTCTCCTACTTTGTTCTGGTAAGTAAGTACAGTATGGGGAAGGTAATCAAGTCTTGACAAGACCAAGTTGTGATTCTGAAGATGAGGTTTCTGTGGACTGCTCTAGGGTTAGAGTATGAAGGTTATATACAAAGAAAGCTTCTAGCCTCAGAACAGACTCTTCGTGTATGAATCATGAGTGAGGAGACTTGGATTCTGGTTCTAGCCAGTCAGGTTTCTTCAGGCTACTTCTGTATTCTCGCAATTTACCTTAAATACCTCAGAGGAGCCAGCAGGATGCTTATCTATGTGGGTAAGTCAGCTTGAATCTGCTTTGGAATCCACCCTCCAGAGGCCATAATGCGGGCACTTCAGAAATGGCCTTCTAAATAAAACAGTACCAGAGGGTTAATTCATTAGTATAAGGAATGTCAGAAATAATTTTTCATTGATGAGATGAATGATGTGCGAGATATGAAGCTGACAAGATTGTACAAGTGTCTCTCTGCCTTTTTTTTTTGAGCAACATAAATGAGTTTGGTAACTTAATGTTTCTGGAGTAGTGCCCTGTCTAGAACTCCATTTGTTCCCGACTCCTCCACTTAATCAGGCATTTAGTTGCTTGATCTGGCTAGAACAGTGGTTCTCAACCTTGGCTGCACATTAGAATCACCTGGGAATCTTTTTAAAATCCTGATTTCCAGGCCTCATCCTCCAGAAATTCTGTTTCTTTGTTATGGGGTGGGGCCACAACATTAGTAACAAAGAAACAATTTCCGGAGGATGAGGCCTGGAAATCAGGATTTTAAAAAGATTCCCAGGTGATTCTAATGTGCAGCCAAGGTTGAGAACCACTGGGCTAGAAGGGTAGCTGATTATGTCATTATAATACAGGTGCACTTGCCTCAGATAGAAACTTTCCTGGGAAGGTTCCCACAGAGTGCAAAATAAGACAGTGAGGGAGGACTCCACTGAGCTTCCGGAAACATGTTTTGGACTCTAGTGGTGCCTGCCTGGTGATAAATATCTTTCCTGTGGCAGAATTCAACCCCAGACTTGCTTTCATTATAACATAACACCAGGGAGTAAGGTTGTGGGGAAGGAGACCTATCATTTCTAACCTCACTTCTGAAACTTTTTGCTCATCTGTGTGTGTTGCAGAAGGAATAAATTATTTGCCTTCCCAATTAGTTCTAAAAGTTCTAGATGATGTGGTAAAAGAACTTAGCATTTGATTCAGGTTGCCTGGCATTATTATTCAATAGAAAGGAACTGTTATTTATAATATTTAATATTAATTTTAATGATGCTTAATAGAAAGTGAATGAAAAGGAAATTGAAGTGCAGAGAGAATAAATAAGTTTGAGAGGCCTTTCTTACTCCAAAATTCACGTTCTTTCTACTGTAATACTTGATACCCCTCTGATATGAACTGAATTGTGTCCCCCCAAAATTTCTAAGTTGAAGCCCTAACCCCCAATGCAACTGTATTTGGGGATAGGACCTTTGAATAGATAATTAAGGTTCAATGAAGCCATAAAGGTGGAGCCCTAATCCAATCTGAATGGTGTCCTTATAAGAAAAGACACCAGGGATGCACATGCACAGAGGAAAGGCCTTGGGAGGACACAGCAAGAGGGCGTTTGGCCTCAGGAGAAGAAACCAAACCTGCCACCACTTTGATATTGGACTTCTAACCTCCAGAACTATGAGATCATAAATTTCTGTTGTTTAAGTCCCCCATTCTGTGGTATTTTGTAATGGCAGCCTTATTGACTGATACACCCTCACCTTTGTGAGATGGGGGCAGAAAGGTGCTTAAGAGGGCAATTGTGGTGAGGTTTCTGCTCAGGAAAATCAAAAGTGACAGGCTAAGGGATTTTCTGAAAAGAATCAGCCACCACAATTTTGTGAGATTATGGAGTTTTGTAACTTAACACATTTTTTTTTATCTCCTTTAGTAAATAGAACTAAATCTAAATGAAAACCACCCTTTAATTCATTCAAAAAGTATTTATTGAGGACCTACTTTCTATCAGGCAAGGTACTAGGTAAGATGGTATCAAAGGTCTCTACCCTCTGGAGCAGTGGTTCTCAACCTTCCTAATGCCGTGACCCTTTAATGCAGTTCCTCATGTTGTGGTGACCCCCAATTTCATTGTTACAAATTGAACATAATTAAAGCATAGTGATTAATCACAAAAACAATATGTAGTTGTTATATATGTGTTTTTTGGTGGTCTTAGGCGACCCCTGTGAAAGGGTCGTTCGACCTCCAAAGGGGTCTCGACCCACAGGTTGAGAACCGCTGCTCTGGAGAGTTCAGTTA